GTTTGAAAACCCTAGATCCGCCCCTGATATCATAAGTAAAGTTAGAAATATTTCTGTCCAAATCATTAACATAAATAATAAGTCACAAAAACAGCCCCTTGAAGTACCCACAAACCTTAACTGTTCACTTTCTTATTCATTGATTGGTTGTTTTAGAATTTAGAGCAAAGCTACATAAAGCTATCTGTAATTGGCCTTTCCTAATTTTGAACTGATAGACTAGGAGGAATTCAGCTACTCAACAGCACCCACGGCCAACTCAGGGGATACTCTTTTCTGACCGAATAGTGTGATTTGACTGCAACTCTTAACGCACCCTAAAATGCGGGATACATTTTTTGCAGCAACGGGTCATGAACTCCGAATCCTCAAAGAGAGTGGAATATTTATATATACCATGTATGTTTTCGCGTCTTACAGAATAGTTAAAATATTATTCTTAAATGTACTGTTCTGGTCCCTCGATGGCTCAGCGGAAAGTTTGAGGGCTTATAAAGCTAAAAATAGGTTTTTAATACCCACGGTGGGTTGATCATAGACAGCCCATTGTGTGGCTTTGCGTCAACAAAAAAACAAATATTGTCATGACAGTGAAGCTCTTCCCCTTTAATGGCGGCTTTACTTAATACTTTTCTGCATTGCTGTGTATATATTTGCATAAAGTTTCGCCAGTACTGTTGTTACCCCTTAGGGAGAAAGTTTGAAGAATTTACCCCACCGACAGGCGTTCGGCTGTGCAAATGAATAAAACTGTCAGATATAATAAGTTTTTGGTTTATGTTTGAGTAAATCTATGCACTCTCACTGAAGTTCCTGTGGCTGAAGAATGTTTCGTTTAAAATTTGAGTGAACGAGCACTGTTCTTTGTTCTCAGTTCTAGTAGTTTATCATACACACACAGTACATAATGCTGACTAGTAAAGTTTCTGTTTTCCTGTTATAATATGACCTTGCTCTAGGTGCGAATCAGGGCCGGCACGACGTGTTTTGCTGTTCTGTGCAAACGCTGACTGTGCCGCCCACTCCCAACCAATTTTCCGTGAATCATCTGTAGGCGGCAAAAGTGTTACGTTCTGGCCGTATGCTTTACTGTAGAATGCCAATTCTGCCTGATGGGAAGTTTTTCGCTCGGTCAGGGAGCAGCTGGTAACCAGAACCAATTTTTGACCATCATTTTTGTTGCCCCCAAGAACCTGCCGCTTTGTTCAAACGCACGTGCTGCACCTCCGGTGACATCGGACCTGATGCGAATGTATTAGCATACACCTTTATCGATGTAAACAGAACAAAAACGTATTAACTTGGCACAAAAAATCTTGGAATAACTTACTGACAACTAGGGACCATTTGAGCAAAGTAAAACTTTCAACTCATCCTTCATTTTTCGTTAAATAATCAACTGCCATCTTAAATTTCTGAAAAGATTTGGTTTACACTGCAGCTGCTCATTTTGTAAGTCAATCACCCTGTTAAAAAACAAAACTGTCTTAAAAGAGCCCTGCCTGCCTTTTCCAAATAGTGAACTGGTGCCCTCTTGTCCTATTATTTTCAGAATATAGCATAAAGAAAAAAGACTTTTATGTTTTAAATCCCCTAGATAATCTTGTAAATTTCAATAAGATTACCTTTTATCCTTATTATCTCAAAACAAAATAAGTTAAAGAGATCCCAACCTATTTCTGTTTAGTAATCCTCCCATCACAAAAATCATCCTAATAGCCCTCCTCAGAATCGTTTCATATATAAGGCTAAAACTGTCAGATATAATAAGTTTCTTGGCTTATGTTTGTGGATATATTTGAGTAAATCTGTGCACTCTCACTGAAGTTCCTAAACTCCTGTGGTTGAAGAATGTTTCCTTTAAAATTTTAGTGAAAAAGCATTGCTTTTGTTCTCAATTCTAGTAGTTTATCATACAGGCAGTAAGGTCTAATTAGTGATATGTAAAGAGAGCTAGTCACCTATTTTGACTTGAAAATCATTATGTTTATAAATACACTCTAATGCTCTGTTAATTTTACTACTAGCAACTGTTGGGATGGAATGAGTAACTTATCCACCAATATCCCAAGATCTTTTTCTTCAGTCACCCTATTGAGTGCATTCCCATCTATATCAAACTTGTAAACCAAGTTATGATAACCAGATTCTTTACCTTCCATTTTCTATAATTAAAAGTAATTTGCCAAATATTTATAAGAGTTATTGTATAGTACCTCAGTATCCTAGAATATCCTCAATAAAGTTAGAAATACCTAAGAATATTAATGACATCAACAAACTTTAATAATTTATAAATTATGCCACCATCAATATTATTAATGTAAATAAGAAAAAAAAAATCAAAGGTGCAAGCACTGATCCCTAACATACTCCACTAGAAAAAAGGTACAGTTTGAACGGATTTCTTTAATAATAATCTCTTGCATTCTCCCACCCAATTACCCTACAATCCAATTAACTAAGTAGTTATTCCTCAACCCCAGTCAATGTAATTTTCTTCACTAATCTTTTGTGTGTCACCTTATCAAAAGCTTTTTGAAAATCTTAAGTATGCCAAGTTTACACTTTTTCATTCATCCAGGCAACAAACAGGAATATCTTTATATTTTGGGGGGGTGAAGAGCCAAGTTGTTTCCCAAGTTTGGTGGAGCCCAAATAGCAGTTTCGGTGAGATATTTCTAGTGAGACTGGATTTGCACATATATAGCATATGGCCTTCACTTGAATGTGTGTGTGGGTGGGGGGGGGGGGGTCGATGTGTGGTCAGCCTCCTTTGCCTCTCCCCCAAGCCTTTTGTGAAATGATGCTTCTGATAATAAATACCATCTTCTAAAAATGTTAACAGATGTAAGATTTCCCTTTGGTGAATTCATGTTGGCTTTCTTGTATTATATCATATTTCTTTTAATGATTTCACAAAGCTTATTTTATCTGGAACTCTCTGGAATTCTTCCTACTCAAATTACTTAGCAAAAGAATAAATGATGTTGTAATTGTATAATATTATTTAAGGAACTTTTTTCACCATTTGAGAGGCAGTAAATATCAAGTATAAATATGTGTTTTTTACATTGAATGTAATTGAAATATATATATATATATTTGTTCATCTACAAACCCAGTACTTTTCCTAATCAAATTCCTTTAAATGATCCTAGGTTTAATGTAAATTTATGAAACCATTTTTCAAGAAAGTTGGTAGTGGTAGAACAGATGAGATATGTTAAAAACTAAATAAAGAACCTTTGGGTACTTCAACACTCAGAAGTATATAATTTTTTAGCTCAGGGATAGTTTCTGATAGATAATTAGAATGACTTAAGAGATCTTTTGGGTGTTTCTAGTAATATTAGTCTTGTGAGGTTGACATACAATATTTGTTATATTGTAATAAACCAGATGGATGGATGTCTGCTCAGTACTTGCATGCATAGTACTTTGTGGAGTGTTTTTGTAGAGCAGTAGACTGATTTAGAACAAGACAGATTGGTTCTCAACTGTTGTGGGCTGTTACAGTTTGTAAGACTTAAGGTATTATAATCGATCATATAAAATACTTATTTAATATTGAATATGAATTACTTTATTCAATATGTACAGATATATATATATATATTACTTTTTACTAGCTTAAAATAGTGTTAACCCTCAAATTTCTGACTTGTTTACATACCATTCACTGCCAGTGGAGTTCACATATTGTATCATCACATTGATTAATTTTGTAATCTTACTCTAACAAACTGACAGAATACTGTGGAAAGTCACTGAATTTCTATGTAAAATATGGAGGAAAACTTTGCAATAATTAGAGGGATTAATTGCAGCATTGAAAGTATTTTTGTCTCCATTATTTTACATGACTCTTATGATGTCAGGAATTTGCATCCTACAAGCTTATGGACCCACAGATAATTTGGTGGATAAATAGTGTGGAAAAATGGATTTACAAATCCCATTTAGGGTTAAACGTGTTTCAATTAATTTTTTGAATGAGGAGAGCAAGGTGAATATCATCTTTCTCTTGAACTTTAAGAGAATTGAGAAGTTACTTCCTATATATATATATAACTCGTTAGGAAATTACCAGTGTGATATATTTGTTAAATTTAGTCTATAAATTAAAATATCTTTATATGTATGCTAAAAAGTTAAGCCAGGGCTTTACAAAGATATATTTTGGAACTTTTGATATGTATGTTATAGACATATTGAATGATAATAACAATGCCTGTAAGTTGTTGATTTAGTTGAATATAGTAACTTGATTGAATTGATCTTGTGAAAAGTAAGTTTTTAAGTAGAAAATTTGAACAGAATAAAAAACTGGTTTAGAACTGTGAAGCTTTTATGGTAATAGGAACTTGTGAAGAGTGAGTACCAGTAATTTAAAGGAATCTGAATAAGTTCATTGAGTGGCCTAATATTCTGCAAATATTTTTACTGATGTTGAAAATTAAAAATATTGTATTCTGGGTACAGAAATTTTGGGTTTTGAGGAAGGAAGAGACTTTGGGGTGACCTGAACATGAAAAAGTCAAGTTCCTTAAGGAACTAGGGTAGATGGATAGGAATTAGCTTATGACTAAGAATATTATTATTACTTTGGTTAAAACTGTTTTTAAATGTTACATAATGTGTAGATATAATACCAAATATTGAGCTTTTCTGTTTGCTTCAGTGCTGTTTGTTCCACCATATATCTCTTACATTATTGTAGAAAATATTCGCTTTCATGTTTTTGCTATATTAGCTTCTAAATGGTTACATTTAAAGAAAATAGAGAATGTGGAAGCAAATTTTGAAGTTTATATGGCATTAAGCAATTGCTATCTCTAATCGGTATTTTTGATTAATAAATAAAATGTTTTTGATGACATAATTATGATTAATATGTAAAATCCTTGTTGTTCAACATACTTAAAAATAATCACTCCTGAGAGTATAAAAAAAATCCTTGGTTGTAAAAAAATAATAACAGATTTAAAGTTCTTCAGTTGTATTAGTGTTTTATGGTATTTTGTACTTCCAGGCACACTTTGAAACTACAGCTTTTTATTTTTATAGGAGATTTCACAACTTTTCACTTCACTGTGGAACCAACTGACTTGGTTGTTGTGAAAGATAGTCCTGCAATTTTAAATTGTCAAGTGGAAGGATCACCGACTCCCAAAATTGAATGGAAAAGAGAAGGAACAGTATTACAGTTTATTGGAGACAAAAGACGGTATTCAGATTTTTTCATATCAGCATATTATTCAGCTTTGTGCATACAAACTGTTTGTAATTTGCAATTTGTTTAAGTTGTCAGTATTTTTGTGTTTGAAATAAAAATTTATTTAATGTTCATTTAAAATGATAATGTATTAGTTAAAGGATAAGATAAAAACTCAAACAAATCTTGAGTCAAGGTGATGGTTTTTGTAACTTGCATATGCTTATTATAACACATACAGCTGTTTGCTGATAGAATGTGCACATCATATAAACATAACAGAAGAAAGATTAAACTAACAGAAGGCCATTCAGCTTTTTAAGGTCACCCTTCTATCCATCAAACGTAAATATAACTTTTCATATTCGTATATATCTATCGAACATACATTTAAAAGAGATTCAAATATCTGTACATACTGTATTTTTATGCAAAATATTTCAGAAGTTAATAACTCTAGATTTCTTTTTCAAGTTCACTCTCCAGTATTCTCATAAAAAAATTTTTAGAAAATTTATTACAAAATCCCTCTTTTGTAACAACACTAGTGCTGCTTTCACACCAGAAGTAAGTCCTTTCCAAATTTATCTTTCACACATTTTGTTACATTGTTCAAAAATATTTTATGTATTGTGGCTCAATCATTAACATTAATTCAAGTCCTTCTGATTAAGAAAAATGTAGCAATTGCTCTAAACATTATTAGTCTGCCCCACAAGCTTAATATCATTAGAAAATTTACAATTTTTCTGGTCCAAATTATTCACATAAATAATAACAGTTCAAGATCCCCAAAATACCCCTGAAGAGAAAAAATCCATTTATCACCAACCCAATTGTCTATTCACATCTTAACTCTTCCATCAGTTTCCTAAGAATCTTTCATATTTACCCCATGTGTAATACCTTATCAGAAGATTTTTGAAAGTTAAGGTGTAAAATTTCAACTAGATTGCTTTTATTTCCCAAAGCAAATGGGGGAGCAAAAAGTTGTTAAGCAAAAAACACCTACTTCTAAACCCATGGTAAGCATTGTTTTATTAAATTCAAATTTTCAAAATTATTTTTAAATTACTTTGACCATAGATTAAGCTAGTAGGTCTATAATTTCTATGTCTTTTTCTTGAGTATTTATTTTTTAAAATAGGAATTACACTATCAGTTTTCATAGTATCAGTATGTTTTCAATGTCAAGTGGCTTTTGAAAGATAATGGTTGAAATTCAAACCAACTCTTTGCCAAGTTTCTTCAAGACTTTATTTTAGGTCTGGTCAGAGCCTAAGGCTTTACACTCAAGAGATTTCATAAGTTTTTCCATATGAGATTTTTCATGAACAAAAATAAGAGTTAAGAAAAATTCATACTCATTTTTAAAGAAGTTTATCAGATTTATCTGCAATGATGACTAATACTTACACTGTTTTTAGAATTTAAAAATAGTGTAGATTTCAAAATTCCAGGCTTGGTGATTTTTAGGTAAATGTTTTAAGAATATATCTTTTTTTCTGGTATTACAGTAACATTTGGGAAGAAATGAAAACAAGTTATAAAAAGTTTCATTACATACATTTATTTTTATAAAGAAAAAGTTGTTGATGTTGAGAAATGCAGAAATAATTCAGTAAATTTGTATAACCTGTAAGAAATATTAGGAGGGGTAACTGTTATATTTAAGTTGGATTAAACCCCTTTTGCTGTTTTCATTACTTAATTAAATCTTGACTGAAAGTTTTAAAATCACTTTTATCCACTTTTTTCCTAGGTCAATTTTAGAAAATGGTTCTTTATACTTCAGTAATATTCATCATACTAGAACAGAACGGCCAGATGAAGGTGTGTACCAGTGTATGGCAACAATTGATAATTTGGGAACAATTGTTAGCCACTCAGCAAAACTGCAAGTTGCATGTAAGTACTTTGAAGTGAAGTTCAGTTCTTTCAAAGTAATGGTTTAAAGAAAATCTATTAGGATCAATGCAACATTTGTAGAATTTCATCTATATTACATTTGTTTGCATGTGTACGAGGAATAGAACTTTGTTAAAGTGTATAGAATATTCATAAACTCAAGTTGGGTTGAATACTAATTGACAATATCATGGGTTGTGCTGATGTGTGTTAGCCCTTCATATAGAGACCAGTTGTCACTCATGAGATTGATGGTACCAGTGGTCTTCTGGCTGTACACTGTCTTATTGATTCCCCATTTTTTCGCTTTTCCTAGCTACACCATACAGTACTTTGTTTTCTAGAAGTCTCATTCCCTCTGAATATTGATGAAGACCTTCCATGGTTGCTGCTTTCACCTTATTAGTGCAGAGGAGGATAATATTCCAGTAAACCTCTGTGGAATTGGAGAGAGGGGCCTCTCTTACAAAGTTGTCAGCTTCCTTGTTTTGTTTATGGTCTGGCACATACATACAGGTGATGATTGTATCGTGCAGTTGCTTTTCTTTCTGCCCATCCAACTAGATACCAACCATTCTGAATTTTACACAATACTGCCTGCAATTAAATTGCAGATATTAAGTTTATATCACTGTCTATTTGTAATTCATTGCTTTTAGCAATCCAGAGGAGAGCATTGATACTTCAGCACTAACTTCAACAGATAGGTTTCAATAAGCTTCTTAAGAGTGGAGATTCTTACACCATCCAGACCTGGAGCTCCATCTTTAGATGTATTTATGGCTCTGTGTATTTCATCCAAACTAAAGATGGTTTAAGTATCCATGTGTAGTTGTAGGTCGGAAGATATTGCTGTGGCTTGGGCCTTTCCTGCATGTCACCATGGTCGCATTGGCACATGAATACCTTACCTTGATATTTGTCTGTATGGAATGAGGTACTGTCATCATTATAAATGTCAGGCATTGCCATGTTTTTGGTTCCTGTGTCAGTCATAAACTTATGGAAGCACTAGAATTAAGTGCTTATGAGAATGGCCTTGCTGCATAGTTCATTCTATTTCATGGCTTGTACTTTAAAAGCTGCACACCAGTAGTGAGCACAGGCTCTATTTGGAGCTTGAAACATTTTTACTCTTATGTTACATAAGAAGATGCATGAAAATAAAAATCTTTGTTCTTCAATATTTATCCCCCAAAATATTTCAATACAAGATGCATACTCTAATTTCAGTTTGATAATACTATTTTTTTTAGATTTTATATCTTGTTTGTTTTAAATATCAGATTGTTGATAAGGTTTTTTGGTAAACGTGTGTTATTAAGTAATTCTTTACAAAAAAAAGTATATCTGACTCAGATCTGGAATAGTAGATCTGTCTTATATAAGGAATATAGACATGTATGTACCAGATCTGAGCAGTATAGGTCCAGATTTGAAAGCATCATAAACAGTGCTTAAATGTGGTTATATCTACCTGATATGAATTAGATAAAGACAGATTAGCTATGGCCAGATCTGGAAGGTATCTTTCAGATTTAGAATAAACAGAACCATACTTGTGACAGATCTGGAAGGATTAGGTTTGATCTGGAGTAAATGTTGCCAGACATGAAAAGAAAATAGCCAGTTCTGGAAGGGTTGCTTCATATCTGGAATAAATGTTATAATATCTTGTCTAAATATTGAGAATTATAAAAGACTTAGTTCTCTTCTTGAGTAAATATTGCCAGCCCTAGGTTAAGAGAAGGAAAAATATATCAAATACAGTTCAGATCTGAATTTTTTTTTTTTATGATAAGTTGGTGTTTATAGCAATATGAAAAATTTATTTATTTATGGAAAACTGAAGAAAAAGCAAAATTTAATAACCCAGCCATATCATACTCATCAGATACTAGCTTTCCTTTATCATCCCTCAAGTCTTGATGCACTTATGACCTTACATACAATTACCTACTTCTTGTAGTTAATTTATAAAATAGTTGTATGATGAATGCATGTGCAGAAAACCTGTTATTATGTAGGTTTTATTGAATGAACTTGCAGAGAAAATAGTGTTTTATTAAAATTGTTGGATGTAGTTGACTTAGTGTTTTAGAATCTGTAACAGTCAGTTGAACAATCTTCTGCCACCATGTTAGTTTGACTGTTCTTATTAAAATTGCTCTTATTATTTATTTTTCATTTATTTTTTTTTTAATAGTTTTAGTTTAGTTTAGAGGATGGGACAGCCTAAATGGACCAATAGGTTCTTAGTTGTCCCTAAACTTTATGTTATGTTGAATAAGTTAATATTAGTTTGTTTAGATTAACATGTTTGTAAGCATATATGAAATTACTAACAACAACGTAAGAATGTAACTCATTCAGGAGGAAAAGTTAAATTGCTGAATTTAAGAATATAAAATTTTCATTTCTGATATACATTTTGTCATTATTAGTTGTGAGTAAGTTAGTTCCTTTATAAGAGTATCACTCACCTGATACATGAACTGGCATTAAAAAGAATGTGCATCTAAAAATATTGATATTTAAAATAATTTATTTTTACAAACTGCATATGTGTTTATTGAACTATCTGTCTATATAATGTATAACTGTGTTTTAGCATTACTTAGGTTTGAAGAAGAGCCACAGGATGTGACTGTATTTCCAGGCCAGACTGCATACTTTCCTTGTACTATCCAGGGAATTCCACCACCTGACATAATATGGCTCAAAGATGAACAGCCTTTAATGTTAGACTTCACACGAATGGTAATTCTCCCTAGTGGTGCTTTAGAGATTGACCTCGTGCAAATTTCAGATTCAGGCACTTATAAATGCAATGCTTCCAACATTGTTAAGTTCCGAATCAGTTCAGGAGGAACATTAACATTAAGCCTGGATTATGGTGAGTAATAAACAAGTTAATGATGTTTGAATATTCAAATTGTGAGGAGGGTTAGCATGAAGGTATACATTTCGTAACTTATGAAGATACTCTTCAAAGTTTAAATTTAAACTAACTTATGAAAATAAATAACCTGGAAGTTTTCTGCTTCAGGTCAATATCTGTATTATTATTATTATTATTAGAAACTAAAGAATAGATTACAAAATTCTAAGCTTTACAACCTGACAAAGAATGCTAGCTTGAAACATTATCTTCTCAAAATAAAATAAAAAATATATAAAACTTGAATATTATGTAACATGTCATTTAGTTTCTGTATCTTTGTTGCCTATGCAGTTAACTATATTTACTTTTCATTATTATTATAAGATCAGGAATGTAGTGTGCATAATAAGATTATCCTAAAATTTAATTGATTTTAATTTTTTTTAAATATGACAAAAGTTATAAACTTGGAACTACATTAATGAAAAAAGTACTTACCATATTACCAAATTTAAATTATACTTTAAAACAATCACAAAGTAGAAGTGATCTTTGGCTTATATCATCCAGAATTATGAATAAGTTGTGAACCAGTAAAAACTAGTTTCCTGACTTCACAAGATGGATAAGGATTTTCCTAGAGTAGAGTAGGAATTGTTTCCAGCTTCCTAAAAATAGGTTAGACATAGCCAGTTCTTTTGTAAGATTTCTTTTTTGTTGTTTTTCCCACATTCATCATCATTCTCATGATGATACTCTTGAGATTAAATGGCATCTTCAACTTTTGTTCAAACATTTGAGATGCTTCTGTTCCTCATCAAGAATGGTCCAGCATTGTCTGGCTTTCATCCATACTCATTGCTATCTGGTTCATTATCATATTAATGCATTATTTTATCTGAAGAAGATTATAAGGTTTATTTCATGGCTTTATTGATTCCCAAAATTCAGTATATTTCAACAAATTAAGAATCAAATAAATGTCCATCCTTGAAAACATTTGATTTTCATGTACTAAGATTGTGTTGATTACTAATATTTCAACTTCTTGGCTAATTAGTAAAACTGTCCACCTTTACCATGATAATTTATTTCTGTCATTTGACTTTGATAGTGGAATAAAAAACATCAATAGTTGCTCTTTTAAGTCATGTTTGAATATGATAATGTTATAAATGTCCATTCAAAGTTTTGTTCAACTGTCAGAAGATTTTTGAAAATAAGAAAGTGCTTTTTATTCAGGTGATCTTGGTAGTACAAACTGTAGTTATTCTTTTTGTGACCTCTTTCATTTTCCTATTTTTTTATGCAGAGTGGTGAAAAGACTTCCATCATGATTATTGCATCCTAATCATTGGACTGTACAGAGTTACTTTGTAACTTGATAGATAGATGTCTTTCTTCACTCTTCTTCTGTGTAATGGTCTTGATGTTGATAAAAAGATAATATAACCAAAATAAAATTAATTACCAATAAAAGGTTACTTATGTAATATGGAATCTCATGGAACACACACACATTATTTTTAAATAAATAAGGTGCTCAAAACCTGGCAAAAATAAAATCTAGGAAGCTGCCATTGCTGAAACAGACAGCATCATAGAGGTTATGCTAGGTGCTTAAAAGAATCGAGGCTTAGGCCCATAGACACAGGAATGTCCACCATTTAAGTGTGATATGAATCTTGGTTTTATATTCTGATTTTTCAGCTGGGAGTTCGGAGCACTATCAAATAGAATCGGGGTATGGGCCCTGTGTGCCAGTGCCTAGCAATGCCTCTGGTACTAGGGTACCTTTGAACTGGAAGTAATAAAGTAATAAGCAGAATTATTTGATATTTCTGTAGAGCATATAGTATGTACAGTGCACAGGATACTTTCTAAGATGGTTCATGTTTTCTATTTATTTATTACTGTTACTTGGCCATGCTAAAGATTATGATGTACATGGACCTTAAATAGCTGTGGGATGAAGAAAAGAAAGGCATAATTTTGGTCATCTAACATGAATAGGAAAATTTCTATTAGTCTGCAAAACTGTTCTTTTGAAAGTGAATACAGAGAAGAAATAGAAAACTCAAAGATAAAAGTATTGCAGTATTATTTGCTTTCTTAATCCCAAAAGCAAGAAGAGGTTTAGGAAAGTAAAATAAGTCTTGTTATTCATCAAGTACATAGCATACTAGTTTCTAGTACAACTATAAATCTGCAATACTACTACAATACTTTCTAGAATATGACATATATATATAAACTGTAAGTTGTGTTAAGTGGTGATACTAATTACTATTTTCATTAAAGAACAATAAAGTAGTATTAATACAGAGATTTAGGCTTAATTTTACATTCAGTTACAAGCACTCATGGTATTATTATCATTGCTACTATGATTGTCCAGAGTACATCTGGATGAAGACAAAGGACTGAGAGAGACTGATCCTTTGTAATATACATTGTACTTTCAGATATTTTATTGTGGTTTCATAAACTCTTTGGTTCTGTGTGCATGATTTCTTACTGGTTAAATCTGGCATTAGGCAATATTTAGTGTTATTGTAATCATATGACCATAATCTTGTATTGATTTTATATTTTCTTCTTCAAACAAGCTTGATGAGTTTCTCTAGCTTTTCCAAGCTAACACTAGAATTTTGTGATTGAAGCTGATGTAGATTTAAACACATGTCAAGATTATCTACAATAATACAACACAAAAACAAAGTACACAACACACTATGTTCAGATAAAATAAACCCAAACACGCATGTGCCAGAGTAAAGGCTGTTACAGCAATGGCAACCTCCTAATGTTTGCTTTTTTTGGTGTATTTAAAAACAGACAACATTGTGAGAGTAATAACAGGTGCATTTAGACTATCAAGTAAGTATCTTAGGAATCTTCTATGGGCAGAAAATTACCTGCTATATTTTCTTCTTTTTTGACAATGTTTTGATCTCAATGCTGGCTCCTTCATCTTTCAGTAAGTAACCTTTCAGTTTACTGTTTATAATATTTAGGTTACAGTTCTCTTGAAATTCTAGATTTCTTTGCCAGCTCATCAGGTGTTACATGATTTTGTCCAAGGCAAATCATCTAAGGTTCTTATTTAAGACCACAAATAGTTTTTTTCTTCCTTTTTTGTATTGTTATTGTAATCATGGATATGTGCTCTTTCTGACCCAAACAACTATAATTTGACACAATTCCTTGAATAAAGCTGGCATTTGTAGTGAAATACTACTTTTTGTTGTGTGTTTCCACTCTAGAAACAATTTTCAACTTTGGAATACTGTATAGCACTTCTAGCAAATTATCCTTTGTAACTTGTTTAGGCACTCAACAGAAAGTGAATCAGTATCAGCTGTCTTGATGATTCCATCATTTTAAGTAAAACTCCAGCAACTTTGACTGACTTTAGTTCTAAAAACAAGTTGAGCAATTTCAAAGTATGGCTAATTCTTCATTACAGTGCATGTAGTTTAATTTTTGAAGCTATTGGTCATAAGAAAAATAATCAGTTGACTCATGACACTCCTAAAAAAAGTATGGCGAAGGATTTTTCTCTTAATGCTACTCCTCTCTTCCTTTTGGTGAGTCATTCTGAAATGCTGTAATAGAGTGACTGTCTTGGAAACATTCTAATCATTCCAACTTTTCTGTATTACATTTCTGTATTACTGTTTCTTTAGGTGAACAGTTAGAATTGATCATTTTACAAAGAAAATAACATCAAAGTGAACCTGACATATTCTTTCCAGTCATAATATCTCAAGATTCACTTCTTAAGAAGCTGGCTATTCTCTAAAAATAAGTCATTTGTCATTTTCCAACTTTGTGTGACAAAAAAACTGCTTATAAACAGTTTGAGTCAATTTGAAGCCTCTTCTGTGATTAAACTTAATATACATTGATGTAAGTAGCAAGCGGAACTTGTTTTTGTTTCTATTCCATTTCTCTTAAGTCAACTGTATTACTACTGTATCAAACAGTCTCATCTATATCATCTATGTGCCCTATTTGGCCCTTCCCACAGGTAGCTAAAATGCTAAACAACATAGTTTACTTTAAACTTATATTACATTGTTTATTCCATTGTATAGAAATATACCAGTAATTCATAGTGTGTTTTTATAATCTACTACTTGTGTTCAAAGAACAATTTTGAAAACAGTCATTAGTACTTTTCATAGTGATGGACTTTTCACAATCAGCTTATCTCTAAAATCTGAAATATGTTTGTTTCTGGGTATTGTTTAAAACAATGTACAATTACATTTTAAATATTTTATACACTTTATCAAATATATACTAAAATGAACTTTCTTTTTCAGTAATAAAATGTCTTAAATTAATTGGTAATTAAGTTTAATACAGCTAAGATAATTCATAAAACCCTTTAGTGTCATTTTTATCTTATTGATGTTTTAAACATTTTAATGCCTGAAATATTGTTTTACTTTTGGTCCTTGGAGATGAGACTCTGAAAGATTATACAAGTGCAAAAATAATGTTTGTAATTATAAAAAAGCATTAGAATAATTAGTAAGCAGCTATGAAAAGAACATTTTTTGTTGTTTTTTTAAATGTATCCTGATCCATTCAGAAGATATGCCAGTGTGTGATGCTGTTCTGTATGTAAATCACAACATTTGTTTCATTCTTGACCATTGAAGCGTTATGGGATAGGATTTATTACACAGTAAACGTTTCAAAGGAAATTCTGTATTCAGGGCTCACCCAGCTGCTGTCCACACACTATTAAAATATCCAAGATGAAAAGATTCACTTAAGCTTAAAGAAGGATGGGGTGCAGCATGTTTCATTCAGTACACTGTGAATGTAGTTTTTATTCTCAATGTTGTGTAGAAAACGTTGCATAATTTTTCAGATCCTTGTGCTGGATAATGCTTTGTGATAGAGTAAGTAAGTAACTGCTATGCTAGAAGCTTCAAACCATAGGATAAAACACTTCTTTATTAACCTTTAAATTTTTAGAATTAAGATAAATTTCAAAGAAGTACTTACCTGTGGAGGTTTACCATTTCATTTTAAAATCTGAAATTTTTGATATACAGAATTGAAAACAAGCAGACTTCTGAAATATGAAAAAGCCTTTCTTTCTGGAGTTGCTCTCATACTTTCAAGAAACACATGACTAAAATTCTAAATGATTTTGATATAATGCAGAGGACGCATCGACTTACTCATAGTTCTCCACTCTCTCACCCTTTTATGTGACTTAATTTACACTTGAATCAGGAGAATGTATATAAGCTCTGATTTCCTACCATAATCCAGATTTGGTAGTTGCAGTTGTAATAGAAACCATATACCTCTCAGCTGTGGGGAGGTAGGTGGGAATGTAGGAGGTAGGTGGGAATGTATTTCCTACCATAATCCAGATTTGGTAGTTGCAGTTGTGATAGAAACCATATACCTCTCAGCTGTGGGGAGGTAGGTGGGAATGTATTTAAGAGGTAAGTACTTGTTTAAAATTCATTTTAATTCTAAAAATGTAAAATTCAAAAACAGGCAGACCTACCTCTGAAATATGAAAAGTCAAAACACCCACACTGAGATGGGGGAGAAAACTAGAGAGAGTTATAAAGACCTCTGGGTCATAAAAATTCAGGTTCTTCAATAGTAGGTATGTAGGAAAGAAGAGTATGATCGTGAGACTATAAGGTTTACACATTCATGGAGATGGCTAAAGTGTTCCTTGGGGTGTTTTGATCCAAAATTTCATACATACGAAATACTGTATTGGAACTAAATAGGATTTGGAGTTATGGATGATCCACCAAAGAGATGTAGCCAGTTGAGTTGTCAAATGAGTATATAGAAGAAACTGAGTAAAAGAAAGAGCCAGTTTAAGCCAATCATCCATGTAAAAGTGAAAGTTGATGTTGAGGTAATTGAGAAGGCCGTAGAATGTTTTGACTAATTAACAAGAAACAGATGGAGCTGAGGCCAAATCAAAGGGAAGAGCACTGAGCTGATAAACCATCCCCAATGGCAAAAAAAAAGAGAATTAAGTAATAACAAATGAATAAGGATATGGAGATAAGCATCTTATATATCCACCATTGTAATCTACATATTTTCCATTTGAAATGAGGTGTATCCAGTTGAGACAGGTTTATAACAAATTTCCAACTTCCCAGAACTACAAAGAGATTGGAGTAAAAACCAAGAGAAGTATGATAAATAATTTGTACTGCTCCTTTCTGAAGTAGATTCGAGATTTCCTGATCCAAAAATTGTAAATAAATTGGATATGAAGAAGAGAAAAAGAAAACAGTAGTTGAACTGAAAAGGGGAGGAGGATGAAAGTAAAAGCAATGTTAGATATACTGGACTGTTTCATATTAAATTTAATGCAAGAGTTATGGTTTAGATAGTTTATATGGCAGGAGTGTTAAATTTAGTTATTTTAGAGGGTGATAGTTTATTGCAGGTTTGTTTACGTAACTATTTACAAATCATAAGTTGTGTAGTTCAGTAGTTAAGAATTCATGATTGTTATATTATTGCTTCATGTTACTAGAATTTTCTGAGTTTTTCTCATTGTTTTAATTGAGTATTATTGCATCATAATATCTAGTAGTGTGTGGAATGTTCTAGACCTCTGTTGGGGTAGAAATACATGTCAACAATGTAGTTCCAGAGATAGATCTAGACTGCATGATTGTGAGTTTAGCCATAGAGAGCATATAGTGGTGATTTTTAAAGTGAAATGATCACAGATTGTATTGTAACAACAAAGTAGAGAAGAATAATTATAGAATAATTATATAATTAAGAATAATTATATAATTAATAATAATTATATAAGAATAGAGGAAAATCTTTTTTGAGGAAGATTCAGTTGAATAGAAACCTGGATAGATTTTTAAATAGAAAAACGGTTTAAAGTTTTGGCCTTTTTTAAACTGTTTTTTCAAAGCAGTATGTTTTTCATTATCAAAAAGTTATGAAAAAATAATACTGTACTTATTTTGATAAAAAAGGCTTTTTGTAGTTCATTTAAGAACAACTACATCAACTGCCTCTTAGAGTAAGAACTGAATATTTTAAATATTGCTAAATACTGGCACAGGAGATAATATATAATATCTCTCTTCAATTACATTTGATAAATGTTGTTATAATTTGGAAATTATTAACATTATTTATCAATATTTTAGGTAAAGCCAACATAATAACATCTCCTCAGTTTATTGCAATTCCAAAGAGTGTTGTAGCCACAGAAGGTAGTAATGTAACATTAGACTGTGGAGCCAATGGAAATCCTCGACCTCAACTAACTTGGTTGAAAAATGGTGCCACTATTGATCTTGCGTAGGTTTTAACACTTGTAAATTTTGTCTTCTAAGATTTCGAAATTTCCATTTTACTTTACATTGTCTCGTTCACTAATTGATAATAGCAAACTGTGTAAAATTATGAACCTTTCACATTGATCTGTTGTAAGAAAATGTATTGAAAAACTAAGTTAAGCAAATTTTACTTCATTATTGTTGTGTTATAATTTAGTCTATATCTTTGAATTAGAATACATCTATAATTCTTCTGTATGTCTCTGTTAATATAATACTTCCTGCAAGGATATAAATTCAAATGATCATAATTTAGTGGGATTATATAGAATACTTGTAGTTGTGATAACTGAAGATATATGTTATATTTGGCTACACTTGACATTTATAGCTGATAAGTTCTGTGCTAGTAATGTATAATGTAATACTTCCTAGATCAGAAATTAGCTGTTTTTAGCTTTGTTTATTTAAGTATTTTTTTACAAAGTGACATGTATATATTTAGTAAATTTTCTGATATTTAGTGCTTATATGTCTTTTGTTTCTAAAATAACTGTTATACTTAAAGTCTTCTGGACAGTCGTTTTCATACTATCGGTGTTGGGAGCCTTCAGATTGAAAATATTGATGAAGAGGATGCAGGCACTTATATGTGTCGTGCTGAGAATCATGCCGACTCAGAGGATGCAAGTGCTACTCTAGAAGTACAAGGTGTGTTTCCAGATAAAAATTGTAGTAACAACTAAAGAAATATGTTTACAAGTACAATATCATTAAAAAACCAACACTTTATGTTCACTGCTTCAATTAAAGAAGCTGGTTAGGGTTTTAGGTCAGGATTGTTTATTCTTCTCATCGATTATCACATTTTCTTTATTTGATTCAGAAATTAGTTTCATTTCAATGTGCTGCTTTTTTTAACTGCTCACTTTTGTTTTTAATTGATTACAGAAAAAATATTGATTGAATTTAACATTTATTATTTTTAATGCAGCTACAGTTTATGGGAGTTATTTTACTGTAGTTCTAACGCTGTTATAAAGTAAAACTGTAATTTATGAACAATCTAACAAATTATGCAATTTACCATTCATAAAGGAGAGGTTAAAAAAAAGTCTCTCTTCTCATGCAGTCCAGTCTCAATTTTTCATACAAGTCTCCTGGTGTGTCAGCTGTAAGTTTATATGCTTACAACACTAAAATCCAGGGTTCAATTACCTGCAGGTAGCCTATTGTGTAGCTTTGTGATAAAACAAACAGACAAACAATTCTTGTATATTTTCTCCTCCATTACTAAACATTTTGTTTTTTCTAGTATCAGTAATACAAACTTTAAAGACATTACATGCTGTAGCATGTTTGCATACAGGTAAGCATCAAAGTGAAACTGTAGAGACTGGTAATTGAGTAAGCCAGTTAAATTTAGCACCAAGGTGAAAAATGCAAAGACTGATAATTTGTAAGGCCTGTTAAATTTTTCACCAAATTGAGTTATAAAGATACCATTACCTTTTACATTTTTGTAAACATATCAGTTGAGAAAAAAGCCACTCTTTCACTGTTGATGGCCTTAATTCTGTGTGATGTTTTAATACAAATCTGATGTCTTTCTGTCCAAAACATTTAGTAAAAAAGTAATCATCACAAAGTTTCTGAAAGTTAACTTGAAACTTTCTTCATTAAGTGAAAAATGCATTACATGAAGTTTAACCATCATTGATTATATCGGAATTGTTTGTGTGTAAGACTACTCAATGATAAACAATATTATGTATTCAGATTTAGTGGTTTTTTGTTCTTTACTAGACTAAAATATAGATCCTCAGACAATAAAATAATCTTATTTATTTATTTAAGGTGACAGGTATTTAGTTTGAAGGAAAGAACTTTCTAAACTGGGGTGTGTGGGAATATTAATATCCCCCTTTGCCCCCCTCATGATGATTATGTCTACTTGGAATGAACTTTTGAGAAGTGTTTTAACAACGGGGTTTCAGATTAATAGCTCCTATATTATTTTTTTAAGCTTGGAGGGATTTCAACTTGTAGTCATGTAATAATTTTTCCATCTATTAGCCCCCCAGTGGTATGTCTGCGGACTTGCAATGCTAGAAACTGGGTTTCAATACCTGTGGTTGGCAGAGCACAGATAGCCCATTGTGAAACCTTTTGCTTAAACTACAAATAAATAAATCTATCTAGTATTTGCCATAATGAACTTTACACTCGTAAATATCATAGTATTAGTTATGGAATGAAGTTGGTTTTGAAGAGTGGTTCTGTAAAGCTTGTCTTCTATGATTGTAACAACAGATTGAACCTGTATTTTTAAAATTCTATTAAGAAAAAATTTACAATAGTCGATATCAGTACCAAATCAAATGCTCTTCATGAAATAATTTATTTTACAAAAACAAGAACTACTAACTCAATGTTATTTTGAGACACAAGTTTCAGATAGTTGATCAGTGTGATCATTGGATAAATTCTAAAGCTACAAATTACATACAAATTAATTAACTTTTTGATGGCACTGTCATCTAGAACAATTATTTCACCCATTAATTAAAACTCTTTGTTGTTTGTGTAGCTTACATACCTGTAGCACTTTAAGTATTAATTGATTGTAAATTGTGTTATACAGTTACGTAGGTATAATTTTAGTCCAACAAACACATACACACAAGGAGCACCATACTCAGAAAATAGACAAATAAACCCAGAAACTAATCTACATCTGAAAAAAGTAAGATGTGTCTTCTGTAAAGAAGTGTCTGTAAATGTAAATAGTACAAAACAAGTGTGAATATAAAGTCTTTTAGTTAACCCCTGTATTAATGTATTAATAGCTTATATCTTTATCTATATATCCATATATAGTTGTTGTCTTTTCTGTTACAAGTGCCACCTCATTTTGTAAAACGACCAAAGAACAAATATGCTTATGAAAAGGAAGATATTGAATTTGAATGTGAAATTTATGGAAAACCAGAACCCAGTCTTCAGTGGATAAAAAATGGTGATGTCATTATTCAGAGTGAATACTTCCAAATTGTAAATGGGTACAATCTCCGTATACTTGGACTAGTGCAGTCAGACATGGGGCTTTATCAGTGCATTGGTACAAATCCTGCTGGAAATATCCAGGCATCTGCCCAGCTTATCATTTTAAATCCAGGTAAAAACTGTTGACTACTTTAGGTATCTTAAGATGATATATATATGTGTGTGTATGTGTGTGTGTTTGCATGTGTGTGTAAGTGTGTGTGTATTCTTTAGCACAACTGAAATGTACCAGTAAAATCAGATTGTAGTAATTTACTTATGTAATAACTGAAAGAAAGGGTTTTTACCTAAATGTTTATTTTCTCTGCTCTACAGAAAGAAGCTATAAAATTTGTTTATTTTAGTCCACTCATAAAATTATTAATAAGCATAAATTTTTAAATTTTAATTTTGTACATTAATAATATTTCCTGCATAATAATGGTTACCATGATATTACTTATAACATGAAGATTAAAGGAAAATTGAAAACTTACAAAACTGTTTAATTTAGATTTTATGCTGTGATGGTGTAAAATGTTTTTATATTATTTTCACAGCTAAAAAAAAAACAAAATTACCTTACTGAGCAGTTCTGAGGTTTTTCCATTTATGGACATACTGTTTTACATACTGAAAAAGTACAAGTAGCAGTTTGTATGCTGAACTGAGTTAAACTATTTCTGTCTCTGCTTATGAATTAATAGGCTTTATTTTATTCTTGTTCAATGTTGGCTCTTGCTAAAATCTTAAAATAATTGAAATGGACAACTATATCACTCACCTAGGGTATGCTCCAATGCACTTGATTTCTTTAGTGTTCTTAAACTTGCATGTTCTTTTACTTGAGTCAGCAGCTTTCATGTAGTGAAAATGGTGTAACCTTGCTAACAACAAGAAAAATAACTTGTGCGTTGTTTTATTTTCATGTAAGACTGATTTCTTTTAAGAGTGACAGAACAGGTCTTCTTCATAACAGGAGATCTGACAAGATATTTACTTTGAAATAATTTAATGCTCTCTGACTACTGAAGTCATGATAAATATATAAAGACTAATCACAAGTATACAGTTGAAGTAAATAATCTTTGTTTAAGACAAACAGTTGCCTTTACTAGATAACATTTGAGGCCAAATAATTCTCACATTAGCTACTTTAAACAATAATGTTAGATTTATTCAGAGCAACCAGTGCTATACACATGAAAAAAAGGTTGTTGCTTAAAGAGATTATTTGACATCCAATGAAAAAGATACTTGTCTAACTTCACATTCTATCTGTGACTTTACAGCTGTTTTTCATGCAAGAAGACAAGAAGTGCTACTCTAGGTGAATTAGATATAACAATAGGTAGCTAGAGCAAACGGAATTTAATGACCTTTTGAGAGCTGCACAAATAACAAATTTTCAAAATTTCTATATTAATATAAATGAAGCAAAGTAAAGAAAACATATAGTTTGCTTATATACCACACCAGGTAGACTGCATTTGAAATCCTCAGTGAAGAAATACAAACTTTGTCTGACAAATACTGCAGATGACATCCTGGTTTAGAATCACATCTCAATGGTACTTGTGGATACACTTTACAAATTAGGATATATATATCTGTTTTTTTCACATACATAGAATATTAACAAATATCACCATGGAACTCCATACATAGATGGTTTTGTGGAGTTTCATTTGTCCAAATATTTGCAGATTATTCTATCAATCAAATAGATGGGAAAGCCAATTTTACATAAGAATTTCTTGATGTTACAAAACTCTTTATGCAAAAATTGATAACTTCAGATATAATAATCATTTTCTTCATTGAAAACATCAAATGAAGCCTATAAATTTACTTGTTCTTGTTGTACTGCAAGAAAGCTGCTGACATGAATGAGAGAATGTGCAACTTTATAAACAGGGAATAAATTAAGTTTATGCCTTAGGTGTGTGATAGTCATCCATTCACATTATTTTCAAATTTTAACAATGGCAAATAACAAATGTATAAAAGAGTTTGCTCATTCATAAGCTGAGTCCACAAATTAAACAAGTCAGTTCAGTATATAAATTGCTACTTATAATGTAACTGAAATTATGCAAGTTACATACTTATCAATTATGATTATAAATAGTTATACTTACAATTGATAAGTATGTTGCTTGCATAATAAAATTGGTATGACTTGTTTTGATTGTTACTGTAACTTGTTGATGTTTAAGGTTTTAGTATTTGATTTTACTTATATCTTCTTAACAATATTGAATTGGTTGTTTCAGTCTAGACATAGCATAATTTTGACTGTTATGGACAACCTGTCTCACCAAACTACAATATGTAGAAGTATACACTGAATAGAATCTAATGACAATAAGTTAGACATAAGCTTAAGATTTACAACAAACACCTGCCCATAAAGTATAGATGAAGGAAATTGCATGTAATATAATGCATATTTATTTTAATTTTAGAAGTTGTCACTCATGGTTTATTCTCTTTTTTTCCCTGGTTTTCTTCAATCTTCACTTGTGTGACTGTATATATGCTAATCTGTGCTGCTATCTGATTCCTGCTTTGTCTCTGCTCAATAAACTTCTGCTCTGCTGGTATATTATTTTACTTAATTCTAATGCATGTGAATGAAATTGTTTCTTTCCTGATTATAAAATGTATGGAATTACTAATTGCTCAAAAAATATTTTCTGATATACGTATATGCATCTGACTTTACTTTCTATTCTCTTTCATGGGACTGTGTTAATTTGAATGTAATTAACATTATATTATCAATGGGGCTTCATAAAATCCATTAACAAAACTAACATGTAGAATCTCCCACTACCCATGCTTCTGTTACTATCTCTCATTCAAATAACAACTTAGGAGGCCTCCCAAAGAATAAGGATGTGCCCTCTGCACCACGCCAGTTGTCAGCAGTTATAGTGTCTACCCGTTTCATCACTCTTTCATGGCAGGAGCCAGTGAAGACAAATGGTGTCATCTTTGCCTATTCTGTGTACTATAAAGAGGGGTCATCTGCAAGGTAAAAAAAAATTACAAATTGAGTAAATATTAGGCATAATAAAGTGTCTTTTGTTTTCTAATAATACTTTCTTCATTATATGTTATATTGCAGTTTGACAATACAAGATATTTGTGTCATTGTGACAGAAAGAACATCAGTGTGTACTTTTAAAAAAATTCTAGTAATAGATATCAGTGTAAAAATATTTAAGTGATTGTGAATTATATTTTGAGAAAATAAATGGAATGCATGATGAAACTTTGAACATGTTAGGAAAGTGAAAACAACCTAAAACGTATTTCTTTTATTTGTTAAAATAGAGAACATGAAAACTACAACCCTCCTTAGCAGCTTGAAAATTGATTTTGTAATATCAGACATGCCCTTGAAAACTTTGTTTTAATGCATTTATCAACATTCCTCCCCATTTTTCTTTCTTCCCTAAAATGTTAGCCTGTGAAATTTATATTTCAGTGTGCTTTTTATAACACTATTTTCATGAAGCATTTTTGTTTCATCTCAGAAAGAATAAATGTTATTATAATGATTTAAAGAAAGTCTATTATCAAACCGTGTTGTTTTATATTATATTTTATCATTGTCTAAATGAACGAAATATAAAATTTCCAATTAAAAGTAAAAGAAAAAATCATTTTAAATATTGTTGGAGCTATAACATGTTATTATAATGCATTATCCTTCTCTGTTACATGACAACAGGACTGTGAATGTCTTATAGGTTTGAAATATTTTGAAATTATGAATGATGGTCACATATACTGCTTCTAGAATATGAATAGATTTTATTTACATAGGTTACTTTTTCCTTTGGAAAGTTGAAATAGTAGAAAATGTGGGATTACGGAAGGTCTATATTTGTATTGGTGAGCATAAAATTTACTAATGAGCCATTAATAATTCAATATGATTTTCTATGCTTGTAAGAGGATTACATTTATAATTGTAATTTAAAATAATATCCAAATTAATGATTAGAGAGAGAGTTCTGAATACTACGTGGCCAAGACTAGAGGACATAAGTGTACAAGGACTTCAACCTTCAACACGCTACATTGTACGAGTTGTAGCTTATAATCAACATGGGCCTGGTGAAAGCTCAGAAAAAATAACAGTTCAGACACAACCAGAAGGTGAGCTATATGTGTAGTAGACCTGCTGGTGATATCTAATTTGCAAAAACATTTTTTACCATCCTCAGTCTAGTTCATTATGTATCCCATTAATGCACTTTACAGCAGTAGTGAACATAGTTTTTATTCAATAAAAATTGAACATATTGTGTAATGAATATCAATTTACCATCTGTGGTATTTCCCTCCTTAAACTATCCCTGATACTTATGATAAAGTTTTTTAGTACTTTTACATGTGTATGTTCATTATTGCCTTTTTAATTTAAAAGTGTCTCTGCAAAGTATATTTATTATTTTATAAGTATATTTCAGTAAGTTTCAAATTCAAAGAAATGTATTGTAATATGAAAAAATAGAAGCTTACTGTCAGATTTAAAAAACATAATATATATAAGTTCTTCTTTTTGCCAGTTGTCAAATTAAATGACTTTTACTTAAGTTATATTTCTTAATAGTATGAATATATACTACGTTATTGTTGGGCTTAGGATTTTTCCACAGTCTGTAACTTGTTAGCAATACATTCAATGATGAATCAACAGCACACACTTTACTTCTCTTCAAATAATATATATTTGGAACAAGTTAAATGTATGTACAACAAAGTCTTCACACTATAGAGATTACAGACATATCATAAACACTATTTATATATAGTTTTCTTCTTGTCAAAAGTCCACTTAGGCCTACTCAGTTACTTTAGAATTTCAGTTGACAAGTCGACCTACCTTCTCTGTATTACTATCGTACTAGTATTCTATGTGTAATTCACTTACAGCTGTGGCACATGTTACTATAATTCGTTTGGTCTTCTTTCTTCTGAAGATCCTCTTTTCCTTTTGTCAAAGTGTACCCAGGCTGATTCAATTACTTTAGATCCATGCTTTGATGGAATAAAATTATCCTTCTTATCTTTTGTTAGCCTATGTTAGTCATTAGGCGTATCACTTTTATGTTACTTCACTTCACACCAACTATATTCTCTTTGCTTTTATCTGTCTAATACTGTCTGTCTGCTGCTTCCTGCTCATTTCACGCTATTTATATCTCTATCACATAGTCGTCTGGCCACTTTCTATATTCTTGACACAATTAGTTATTAACAAAACTTTCTACAATCATCTGCTTTTAACTCTTATTATAACAAATCTTAAAAATAATAGAATATTCACTCACAAATAAAAATCAATTACCAGTATTTAAACCAAACAATCTTTTTATATCATGACACTTACAAACTGATTGACTTATCTAGTAAAAGACACCTAATGACACTTTCAAAACCTAGGTATTGGGACAAGTTTTAAAACTCAGTGATATTGCTTCCAGGTCCTTACTCAACAGGCTGATGGTACTGATACACTTGGTGTCTTCAAACAAATAAACAACTTCACACATAAAACCTTAACACATAAACATTGAGATAGGCTTTGAGGGATGACAGGTACATTCCTCAAATACCTTTCCTTTTGCAATAAATAGTATTATCTACATCTACCCTTCCGTTATGCATATGGTGTCATTGTCCATACTTCCCTACTCCTAATTTCATTTTTACATAGTTTAATGAAGTTGGAAAGCTTCCCATGCATGTAAACATGTTACTCTTTTAAGTATACAGATATTTTTTTGCACTATCTTGTTTCTTCACACAGATAAAGCATCATTCAAAATACATAATTCATTGTAATGTTTTTAAAATTAAAATTGCTCAATTTTATAATACTTTTTAATTTTACAGGTGTTACAACTCACCAAAATACATAAAAAAAACATTTTTTGATAATTACATAGACATTTCATATTTTCATAGATTATGAGATAGTAATCACCATCATTTTCAAGCTCATATACAACTAAATAGTTATAAGCAATCATTAAATTCAGGGACTTTTACCTTAAATTGCCAAGCAGAATAATAGCTCCATAGGAAAACATTTGATGAATTACACCATGTTTTTAAAGATTAGAAAGTTTCTTGCAGTTAGGTGAGTGGGATAGTGGTAGCATTATTGAAACAAAAACTTGGGGTTTAACCACCCCCCAAAATGTCAAATTTATACAAGATAACATTCTCTATACTTAATAAAAAATGTCACAAACTCTTCTGAATATATCTGCGGATGAAACTTAGATACACATTTAAACAAGTTTTTAAAATTAAACATATGCTTCACTTTTCAAATATCAACATTGGATTTCATATTGGTTATAGAAATTAAAAAATACACCAACACTACTCTCTAAAATCGAATGAGATTACTCATTTCAAAAGAAGGTGTGTTGTATTGAGTTGATTTAAAGATAAATTCAGAACAGCAATTACAACACTCTCTTATATACTTAATTGCACTTCATTAAAAGTTTAACTTACAATACTAGATTTAACTGGAACTGCATACTTACTTAACATTTATGCATGCAGCCAAATTATCATTTAATGTAGTGAACAGCAACATACTCCTTGATAGATCAAGAATCTGGAAGTTTTTAGGCAACATAAAAGCTCTTAACTGTAGGTGCAACATTTCTAGCAGTTTTCAAATTCTTCAGATTGATGAGATAGAAATTTTTATATTTTTTCTTTTATTGTTTGTTTGAAGTTAAGCACAAAGCTACACAATGGGCTATCTGTGCTCTGCCCACCAGGGGTATCGAAACCTGGATTCTAGCGTTGTAAGTCAGCAGACATACCGCTGTGCCATAGGGGGGCTTTTCCTTTATAGGATGCTGTTTTGTACACAATGTAACTTTGGATTATTTAATCCAGAATTTAATAGTAGAAATTAGTGAACAATTTTTAACATTCAGATATAAGATAGTCTGTAAATGTACCAGGTCTGTGATGTTTCTTATTAATGAAATTATCATACAGTCCAGATTAAAAACTTGTTATTGTTTGGAGTAAATATAAAGATATATATAATTGTATGTGTGAATAAGAATTATAATTTTTCACACAAAATCTTTAATTTAGGTGTGAAACATTTCTTCCATATTTTATGTAGTCCATGTTCCAAGTCCAGCACGTGATCTTCAGGCTTCTCCAGAATCACCAACATCTATTTTTGTTCAGTGGGTTTCTCCAGACAAACTCAATGGTCCAATTGAAAAATATAAGCTATATTACATGAAAGTAGGGACATCTGAAGAGCATGAAATTACCACACAAAAAAACAGTTATCTGTTACAATCACTTGAGAAATATACAGAGTATAGTTTCTGGGTTGTGGCATTTAATCAGAATGGGCCAGGAATCAGCACAGAAGAAGTAACAGCAAGGACCTACTCAGATAGTAAGTCTTTTTTTTAACACATCATTATTAGAGAAAAATGATGTAACTTGGATGATCACCTACTAAAGTATAATCAGTCTTATTTGTTAACATAGTGTATTTGTAGATGAAAATGTATATCATCAGTATAATAAAAAACACAATCTAAGCAAAGATTTCAACAAAATTTTGAAAAATTGAGATGCTTATTTAAAAGCAATAAAAAATAATAATTGCATTATTGGACAGTACATAGGGACTTTTGGTTCAAAGCTTCTCCATCTTCAGTGGGATTTGAAAACTGATTCATTCACTTTTATATCACAGTAAGTAGTTTCTCTAATTGAATAAATATGTTAAAAATAACTAAGAGCAAATGTCTTGTGAAATGTTGTGGTAGTTTCAAACACCTCAAGTGTAAGGTAACTTATAAATTGTTTGAAACATTACCAATCATCAGTGATACATAAAAGCACTCAGTGTATAAAAGAACTTAAAATTTATTTGTGACATAACCAGCCATTGGTGGTACATTTGTTCATATACCCAACATGCATTCTGTTTTTCCATTTACTTCTTAGATTTAAATAAAATGTGGCAGATGTAAGGAAATTGTACTCTTTCTTGTACTCAGGATGTGTTTTGTTTGAATATTATACATACAATATGTACACTGTATTACTAAAAGTATTAAAACAGTACACTGTGATAAATAAGATATCATGTTTTGTTGCTTGGCACTTGGGTTCCACCTTAATATGGATTAAGATTACTTTTGGCATTAGCCACAGGGTAAGAACTCTCACTAACACTTGAAACCAACCAGACGGTACACTTGTGGAACAGATCATAACTCTTGGAAAGCATATGTAAGTGTAGTGAGATTTTATGGTACATCTCTTTAGTCCCCCCAAAGCTGCATTCCAAAACATCCTAGATTAGTTTAATTAGTTTCACATTTGGATTATGGGATGGCAAAGGCAGATACTAGACATTATGTGTTTTGAATTTCTATCAAAAGAGTGGTGGATTCTCCCTATATAATTTCATCAGTGTAGGTGATACAGCAATACCCAGTATGTTAAAGCATGACAAGAAGTACAAACCTCCATGTAACTATTACCAGGAAACTGAATTCAAACCAACTAAAATAAATCTACACCATGATACTGTCCCATCACTCTTATGGTTGGGACGAAACGGTCATATCCAAAGAATTCTCCTAGGTATCATCAAAACCCAGACCCATTCATCTGAAGCAAACAGTGAGTAACATTGCTCCTAATCATATGATGGTTTATCAATATTCTTTTTCCAAGTTTCAATACTCAGAGCAATATGAGAACCAATCTCTCGAACCTATGGCTGTAATAATTGGCTTATGGGCTGCTTTCCTTCATGCAATCCAGCAGCAAGGAATTCCCTATGGGCAGTTGTTGTGCTTGTCCAATGTCTTGCATTCCCATTAAAGTCCTGGTTGATGAATTTAATTCCAGGTATGCAGTTTAATTTCACAAGTTTGTTTAGACCAAATAGTAATTAATTTGGGTGTCTCAGCTGATACTCCAGATTAGCAAAATGAGTGGTCTTTCAGTTCTTCAACTTATTACCTTTAATAGATTGGAATATTAGTAGGTGAACTGATGAATACTCATTTATTTGTAATTAATCTAGCAGTTGTATGAAAATCACCTCATTTGCAGATCTTTATATTGTAAATGTTAGTACATACTTATTAGTATTTAATCTCATTATTACCACAGTGAGTATAAATTCCTGAAATAAAAATTAAATAAGGAAAAGACCTATGTAATTGACTGCTTGTCTTTCATGGCAAAATCTCACAATCAAATATCATTAATGTAACAGACATCAGTGGAATTTAATGAGATTCACCATTCTGTTCTTCAGTCATATTATCAATTTCCTTGTTTATTTGCAGAGAAATATATCTAAATACTTTTCATTGTGATTTTCTTCATATAAAAACAAGATATTCTACTGAAAATGTTTGTTTCTACAGCTCCAGATGATACACCACAAAATGTCACCATTGAAGCTGCAAGCTCAACTGTGAGTACTTATCATCTGTATAGTATGGGTACATGTAGATACAGCTGTATGTTGAACATTGTGAAATACACTATCACATATCCTGTCTTACAAACCAATGTTTTAATTAAATTGTTTAAATATTTAGCAATATTAAATTCAAGCTATTTCATATGTTATATTTCATTGAGAAATAGTAGTAATGATGTATTAATTCATCATCCTCCATGTGCTATTTCTACTTTACTTCTGAAATAAAAATTAACTGGTAGTAATACATATATATTCTTGTTTTATTAATTTAATATCTGAATTCATTTGTACTGCCCAATCTATTTTGCTTTTTTATTATTTTATACAAAATTTTACTTTTACCATAAAGCATGTGAAATATCATTAGTGATAAATTTTGTATTGTTATATGATTAAACTGCAATTAAAAGACTTTTAAATGTAACCATTTCATTATTTATTACCTCTTCTTACAAATGTCCAATTTCTGAAGAAAATGTTTTTTGAAAACCAAACCACAGTATAGAAGATTTTAAAATCTTTGACAAACTTCCTGCAGAGTATCATTGTTCGATGGCAACCTCCTCCTAAGGAATCACAAAATGGCATTATCACTGGCTATAAGATCCGATATAAGTTAAAGGGCAGTCGTAGAGGAGACACCGTTACCACTGATGGTAACAGAAGATTGTATGCTTTAACAGGTAGGTTTTGATTAATTCTTTTGTTACAAGAGGGTTCTTCCTTCTGTAAAATAAGTACTTGAATTATAAGCAAGTAAGATTCTCTGAAGTCTTTTATGATTATGAAATGGTCAGGTACAAATGGTTGTGCATTTAAATTTGTTACATAACGGGTCACAATACAACTGTGTAAAGTTGAAACATTGTTTCAATGTTTGGACTAAAAAGACAAAAACTCTATTACATAATTAATATGATTGCATAATATACACATCAGAAATCATATCACTAAAACTTGGCTACAGATCACATACTCTTGTTTTGTTTTTATTGTATGTTAACAATGATTCAGAATTAGACACTATTAAAGTGTGCTTTCTTTCCTTGGATATTTAATGAAACACAAATTGCTCATTTATATAATCAAAAAATTAAAGATTGCACCTCCAGTAAGCCCCTTCATGACTTTCAAGATATGTATTTTATTATACAAGTATTGGAGAGTCTTGTGAGAGTCATTATAATGTGTAGGTGTGTTTGTGTGGCATACTTACCAAGTAACAATTGCATTAAAAATATAGAATCTGGGTGGTTTTATCGTAAGAAAATATGGGAATGGATATTCAGAGATACAAAATAAAAATTGCTATTTTATGAGGTGAAAGGAACTTCAAGGGTTTATATATAACAATTTCAAGAATGAAGAAAATTGTATTTATTATGATATTAATCTTATCGGGTGATATTGAAATGAACCCAGGGAAAAAATACATTAATCTTATATGTCAGGAATTGTTGAAAATAAAATCTTAAATACAATTTAAGAACGCATGGATGGAATTGAATATATCTTTGAGGAAAGTAGAAATTAAACTAACATTAAGTAAATAATAGGAGAAATAAAACAGTTGAAAGTATATATGAGATAAAATATGGAATGACTAACTATGGATAGGATTGGTTTGCTAGAAAATCATAGTAGGCAATCATATGTAATATTCTATGATATTAAAGGAGAATAGAAAGAAAGAAGAAAATAATCTGGAGTAAAATTGAATGAATTCCTGAAATATGAACTTGCAATAGAATATTTTCAAAATATTGAAAGAGTACATAGAATTTTCAGATAAAAGAACAGAACTATTCAAACTCTAATAGCAAAATTTACACTTTTCAAGGACTGAGATCATATTTCATTCAGGGACCTGGCATAGCCTGGTGGTTAGGTTGTCTGACTCACAATCTGCAGCAGATCATTGGATTGTGACCCAACACCAAAATGTGACAGTCAGTCCTACTACTCATTGGTTAAGAGTTGGAGGTTGGTGCTGCCAGCCAATTGCCTTCCCTCTGATCAATAGCTCAAAATAAGGTACAGCTTCAACAGCTTTAATAGCTTTGCCACAAAGAGAAAACAAACTAAATCATTCAAGAAGGTTTTATTGTTTTTTATTTAATGTCAGATAAAACTGATCTAAGTTAAAATTATATTCAATGAAATCAAAGTCCAAAGGAAAACAATTTTTCATGAGATGTGCTAAATTAAGCACTGAAAGTAAATTGTGTATTTATTGAGAACCAGAAGGTTTAAAAAAAAGATTCAGATAAAGATAGAAAAGGCCAAAAAAAATGGCAGAATGTTTTTAAAGCATCAGTAAAGCAAAGCTAAATTGAAAGAAATAATGATGTAACTTACAGTGATGAAGAGGAATTGAGGAAAGGTGTAACTAGGGATGGGCCAGAAATAACAAAGAAATTTATAACTCAAAAATGCATTTGTTTATCATTGAATATAAATGGTTTTGAAGAGAAAATCAATTTTTAGTTTTGTTTAAAACCATTTAATTTGGTATTTTTTATGGAACAGGGAGGAAAAAAATAAAAATTTCAGTTTGTTTTTGAAAGTTTTATAACTTTTGATACAGTTTCTCAAGTATACTTGAAACTTATTATTCCTAGTGTAATGCGATAGGCCCACTAAATAACAAGAGATCACACAAGATATCTTCTACAGAGTAATAATGTGTTTCTCTGAATACCTGAATTGATGAGAAGGAAATAAAGGGACTGGACACAATGTAACATGCAATAAAAAGCACAACCTTTATTACAGCATAACACAAATATGTTTCACTGTCACTTGTACTGAATTTGAACTATTCTCTCAAACTAATCAGGCCAAAATCATCTACCATACTGTTTTAAGTTTAATGTTCCTTACTTCACAGGTAATATTGAATTTAGTCATAGTGACTAGCACTACCCATGTGACTAGTCACTCTCATTCATTCAAATATATGGAAGGCTGTAACTTCGAGATTAAACCCAACCTACCAGTGAAGGATACTGCTGTCTACATTCTTTCATCACATGCAGCAATAGAACCATACCTCTCATGTGCAGAACAGGTGTGACCTCAACAGAATAACAAATGAACAAAGGCAGCTAGAACAAAATTAGTAACTTTCTTGGCCACATATTATTTGGGAATTGCATATACTCAGAATAACTGATAAATTTAGAATAATACAGTAGCAATATAAGAAGGAATAAAATGCATGGTATGTTTAAATACCACAATATCCCCATCTCCTTTATTTCAGGCTTGTCCTCAAGCTAACAATTAATTTCAACAATACACACACTCTGGCCAAGGAGTACAGTAATCTTATCTTGTTCATTTAGACACTTACATGCAAAAAAAAAAGACAACTGTTTAACAATAAAATGTACATTAAAAGAACCCTTTAACAAAGATGCATGCACACACTGATACATGGCAAATACCCTTAAATACTGAAAGTAATGGTTATAATGTAAAATCAAATTCACAAAGCACAAGATGTAATAATCCCTATCAAAAAAATCATCATGAAATTTAAGTACAAAAGCTCTATAAAGAAAAGAACCCTTTTAAAAAAAGATGAAAGAATACAATATTGGTTGTGAATAACAAAACAAAATACCCTTCAACAAATATTAATAATTTACATCTTATCTTACAAGAATGCCCTTTAACATTGATTAGTTCACACACACCTTACCAGCCATAAACATACAACTGAAACCTTTTAGTTATGTAAAACATGAAACATCAGGATATACTTAGCAGAACACTCCTGAATATACAATTCGGATATCAACTATTTACAAGGCATCAAAATAAAATAACCCTTCATTGAAAAGAATAGATTAACTAAGAAAGACCTATATAGAAGAGATCATAGAATGAAATAAACCTTTCAACAAAGAACTTATAGTCACATTAAAAAATTAAATTTAGAAAACATAAGATAAATCCTTTAAAAATGAAATTACAATATATAATTTTCACATTAGAAAATTCACTATAACAAAAAAAATCCTTTAAAATTATATCAAAGAAACAACATAAAACAACCCTTTTAGTACACATAAGAAAACGAAATAAAACCTTTAAAGGATGATAATAATAAATGAAGGTACATAAAATAATGTAATAAAATACTTTAAGCATAACATGTATTCCTACATATATATACAATCCCTAAATTATTAAAATAAAAATTCACAACATATACACATACCAAAGACATCTACAAGATCTGAGCTCCCTTGCTCTCACTTCAACCCCATTAGCTGTTCTCCAATGCAGCAGTTGTCTGTCTATGGGCAACCATTGTTGCTCAAGATGGCTTTTTGTGCTTTGTATCTAGAGCTTTAAATAATTGTCTCTGTTCATCAAAGTCCACAAAAGTGAGTTAAATTACTTTAGAACACCCTTTCACAAGAAAAATTATTCTCCTCTATTCTGTTATCACAATACATAAGTGATAAATT